GATTTTTTGTTGCAGGAGGAAGATTGATACCTTATATGGCGTTTGCTTTGAATTAGGAAGGATCTGCTTTTTGACCTCAGATAGAGAGATACGGCTCAATTGTAGGAGTAAGGAGTGGTTGTTTTAGACATTTCACCAGAAAGAAACACCTGAAACATGATAGTTGTCGCGTTGTGTTTGGGTGTCTGTCTATTGTCACTTCCTCTCTCATTCGTGAACATGCAAAAACAACAATATATACACCCGCAAAAGGAACTTTACAGTCACCAACAGCCCGCCCGAAGGCCCATAGGCTCAACTGACTTCCTTCAAGTTGTCACGGAACTTCGTGTCGCTATCAGGTCCTAGTGTCCGGCTTAGTGGTGCCGTTAAAGCTTCATCCCATTTCGGAAGCTGTGGAGTAGTGTCGGCCGGGCATGTCAACGACAGTGAAGTGAAGGGTGATGGTAATGAAGGTTCTGCCCTTTGCTCGCTGGTCCGGGCCCTCGGGTAGGAACCTTTATCCCCCGCCAGTTTTTCTTCTGCTTCCAAAATTTCCAAGAAACAACAACTACCATCACCGCTACCGCAAAGTCCCTTCGCAACCATCCTCTCAGCCAACCTCCAAACCCACCTACAATCTCTACCTCAACAGCAATTTTTCTTCTCTTAATCGCGCCTCACGAGAGCTCTGCTAAAGTCGTTTTTGCCAACCCCTTCTACTTCCACCGTATCCCAATCGACAGCCCACACCCGGTTGTTGCTTGGAAATCGACCCAGTATTGCGGAAGACCAAAGGAGCCAATGTCCTTTAAACCACAGGCCAACACGAGGATAATTGGTTCATTCCGTGAAGGAGTCACCGGTGGTATCCTAAACCAACATTCCCAATTGTTGAGGCTCGAAAGTTGGTATTTTGTTGTGGTGGGGCCTGTCCCATCTCTGCCATTCACTGGCCTTGTTATGTGGGGTCCATGAGCTCACACCACCATTGTATTTAGCCCTCCACATTTCTTTTCCTTTCTTGTCTCCTGAGCTTAACACAATCAACACACTTCTTGTGCCCATGAGTCCAAGATATCTGCCCACTGCAAATCAAGATGGATTCTCGACACCCTCACAACAATGCGCCTCAGAACCACAACGGCCACAATATTGACCCCCACCTCATGGGTCATCAGAACACGGGACATGGAAACAGTGCTCCTCAACGCGAACCATTGAACCACCGTTCCTCAACACGTGAACCCCCAGAACATGGGACCTTCCAACATGGGCCCCCAGAACATGGATCATGGTTGGCAGTAAGTTACACCCTCTACAATTCAATCTATATTCCCATCTGGTATCCTTCCATGGAAGCGCCTTTTTCCGCTCACCTTCCTAAAGTCCCATTATCTTCTCACGATACAGCTTTCCGTCGCTTGGTAATTCGGCACCCGATGTCGAAGCCCCTTTACACCTCTTTGGGACACTCTTCATATTCTTGGAAGTCCAGAAGCTAACAACGCGACAAACAGGTTACCCGGTGGCCAAAATGCGGAAGGCTTCGAGCAGCTCGATCTTTCTCAACTGTTCGCCATCGACGACAATATCGAGGTTCCACCCGACAACGATGGTTTCGGCATGAATCTCAGCGCAATGGGCAACCAGCCCATGCCCTACCAGGCCGTGGAAAACGCCATGCAATATCAGCCCATGCAACACCAGGCCATGCAACATCAGCCCATGCCAAACCCAGACGGCGGAAACCAAAACTTTGCGCAGGCCCCTATGAGCGCGCCTGTTGGCAGTTCGTGATGAACCCGGCTGGCAGAAATGCCCCGATGAACCCATTCGGTGGACAACAGGTCCCCATGAACCAACCTGGTGGATAGGCCATGATAAACGGAGGCTTTGCGCAGCATCCAGTGAACCTAGCGGGCGGACAAGTCCCGGCGAACCAGCTTGGCGGACAGCTTCCAATGAACGGAGGCTTTCTACAGCTCTCATCGGAACTTATTGTGCAAATGGGCATCGTCATGGCCGGTGTTGCTGGAACAGAACTCCACGGACCATTCTGGAAGATTCTTGGTACGTCGTACGATAGGATTACATGCAAAGTGTCAAGTGGCCTTTCCTTCCCACTGAGTTACATGTACTGACAAGCCCTCTCTTTCCACTATAGACAGCATCTTCTACTTCGTCCGCAATGATAGATGGGCCTCCATCCCCACCATTCGCGGAAACTTTCGCTCCAAGGCTTCTGTCCAAGCCTCCCACCGCGCCGTCGGACCCCCGCTGCCCTACGTCCCGGCCACTTGGCCTGCGTATCTGGCCAGTATTTGTGCACCCGAAGACGAGGAGCTGAGACAAGGTGTCCAAGCCCATATGGCCTTTGCTTTCGACGCCTTCTCCTTCGCTGTGTTTATGGAGAGGATGGGCTCTCTGGAGTCCAGTTACGCCACCGTGGGCCAGACCAGGCCCATCATTGCCAGACTTCACGCCAAGTTGGCTAGCCACGAGCAGCAAGGCCTTGACTGGGACGCCGACAAACACGGGGCGGTGGACCATCAGTTCAACGGGCTGACCATCAGCAATGTGCCTGAGTCGCTTGCGAGCCAGAAGTGGCAGAGAAGACAGAAGGCCTACCAAACTCGCACCAAGTACGGCGCCACACAAGCCAGCTTTAGAGATGCGCCGAGGACCGAGCAGGAGGAAGGAAAGAAAGTTAAAGAATTGGTGGTCGCGATGTTGAATCTACTTCACATCGTCGACAAGGAGTACCACAAGGGCGGAAAATTGAACCATGTCCTGAAGGAGTTCAAGCACATGTCGCTTTACAACTTGGAGTCGAGCGCCTGGGATGCCATGGTACGTTATGACTTCCCTCTTTTCCTTATCCCTCTACAGGAGTATGATGATGGAAGGCAGGAACCTTCGTGACTAACCACTAGATTGTACAGGACGAGCTCCGAACCGTCGCTTTGGGCATGGCGAACGCCGGCGTGTTCGACTTGGACCTCAACTTCAAGGTATACGAGACCTTTGAAGCCCGTCTGGAGGACTTCATGACACTCTTCCGTTCTTCGAAAGCGGCCGTGACGGGCACCACGGAGACTCGCAAGCTCGTTCGGTTTGCCGGAAAACCTCTTGGTGAACTCAGCGTAAGTTTATTACCTCCAGCTGCAATCTCGTTGTGTACAGGATTGGGTCTCTAACATGGAGTGAATGATAGATGAAGAATATGAACAGGAACGGTGCTGAAAAGAAGGCAACCTACTTGGCTGCCGTCGGCGAGGCCAGAACCATAATTGCGGCGGTAGCCCAGGGGCAACAACAAGGTGCCGCGCACAAAGCTGCTGAGCCGGTGCAAGAACAGGACTCGGATTTGGAGCATGAAGAGGATTCGGAGCTTGAGCAAGAAGATTACTTCAAAGAAGGCTCCGAGGATGCCGAAGATGATGAGTCTCTGCCTGCCGCCAAACGAAGTCGCATCTCGAATGACGACGAGGTTGGTCAGTCCCTCTAGGCGTCCTCATGTTTTCCGACTTCCTAGGAACTCTCGTCTTCCGTTCGACATGACACCTGCCCCGAGCTCTCAGCAAAAGCATTGTCCATCTCTTTCCATTAACAGCCTCGGGCCTTTGGCATAGGAGTTAATCAAGTACGTTTCGATAAGTTCCAGTGCTTAAACGAAGGAGCAGGACTTCTTCATGGAAGAATGACAAAATCGAGAGCGAGTCTCATCTGGGGACGAACTGTAAGTGGTAAAGAGAAGGCAATAAACTGGATGGAGGACACTATTAGTTGAAGTCTTCATCCACAACTTTAGCCAGGCTTTGGACAAGAATAACGCTTCAGGGCGTCAAGGTTCGTCAATCCGGCAAAGGGCATTGAGCTTTACCATAGATACCCGAAAAAAGGGCCAAGAGACAGTCCCATACTAGAACCATACCGTGGGGTACAGTGATCACAGTGTCAGTAGGGTTGTGGATCTAAATTCGTGACTGATGAATGTCGTTTGCAAGTTGCGGTCGCTGGACCATGTCGCTATATATACACCTCTACATGTTATTACCAGACTTGTACCTACACATTGAGTTACAACTTCAACGACATCGATAAGGAAGGCCACTCCCAGGTTGCTTTCGCCGATACACCAAGCCTCCATGTCCCGGAGCGAGAAAGGGAAAGAGCTGTAGCAAGCTCTGAGGAATGTCGAGCTGGGAATGCCGGACGCGGGGGTGCTTAACCTGGACTTCGTGTTCAAGGCTTACGACTCCTTCGGTGATCGTCTTCGGGACTTCCGAGGACTGTTCCAGTTCTCCAAGGCGGCCGTGACTAACACGACCGAGACGCCGTATATAACGCGCTACGCTGGTCGGCCCGGCAGTGAGCTTACGGTAAGTCAATCACATTCCTTCCTTGCGTCCATGTTCTTCATGAGAAATTTCTGGCTAACACGCAATTACAGCGCAAGAACTGGAACAAGGACGGCAGCGAACGAAAGACTATCCTTGGTCAAATTGCAGCAGGGACCGCTGTCCAAAGGAGCGGCATTGTTGTTCCTGGACTGGTGGGAGTTGCTGCCCACGGGCAGGCTGTCGCCATACATGCTAATGTTGCACACATGTAAGCCACCGATGCAGAGATATCCAAGACATTCCAGAGAATTGTAGGGTAAAGCAGGCAAGGTGAGACCCGGTTCAGTCAGGAACTAAGGCAGTAGCAAATGGAGGCATTCCAAACCCAAACTGGCTTCTGTTGAGAAGGCAAGTGCATACCGAGAAGTATTGACTAGCACAAGAAGCATAGAGATGTTAGTCAGAGTGTATTATCCCCAAGTGGGAATGTCTTGAACGTACAAAGAAGTTGAGACGGGAGCACGGGTTCTTGCCGAACCACCGAAACAGCGGGCGGAGTGTCGAGTTAAATTGCCGAGGACGGCCAGTGTTGTGGGGGCCGTCCTCGGTGGGTGTAGGGAGTTCGGAGTGGTTGGTCCCCGTTGCCTGTTTGCCCATCCGAGCGTTAGTCAACCGTTGACCAAGGAATGCAAGGAGGGGGGTAAGTTGGTGCATCAAAAAGGAGAGCAAAGTACCTGTCTGGCGCAGAAGCGTAAGAGTCCGTTTCCTTTATCGTGGAGGAGGCGAAGGTTGCGGGTGAATCCCGCAGGGAGCTGCTTTCTGTGAAAATAGCACCGGCTGTGTCCGGTGTCAAGGCCGGAGAGGGCTGTTGTGAAGTGGGTGAGGCCGTGTTCATTCCGGCAGTAGTGCAGTAAGAGAAGCTCTTCTATCCCTAACCCAAGGCGTTTCGGCCACTAAGGAGGTCGGCGGACGCGAAATACTCATGGGAGCAATGGAAAGAGAGGACTGGAAGGCCAAGAAACAAAATGACTGGAGTTTGTGATGTTGGCTTCAGCCAAACTGGGATAGAGGAAGAACGGAAGAATGTCAAAAAACTTGTAATGGGAGGGATGGAGGAATGGGGAGAGCGTGGATAATGTAGGAGTTGTCGAGCACGAGGACTTCCACGACTGCGACTTCTGTGGCAGATGGTCATCTCTCTGCCACCGGCATCGGAGATTACAAGTACCTCCTATGACACGGACGACTAGTGGAGCGGAGGTGGCCCCGCGGGGACACAGGCGCTCCCAGGGCTAGAAGCAGGTGATCGAACGGAGAAAAATCATACGCGAGGAGCCAGGTACGTCTCTTCCTCACCAATCCTCTCGACCAACTTCGATCCAACCTGGGAGTTTCGTCATCCATGGTATGCTACATCGAACGATTAAAGAGCGAGAGGGGTAATCTTTATGAGCAACTGGATGAAAGTGGCAGGATGACTTTGACTGCATGTTCAGTTCCCAAGAAGCTCGTCATCAAGAGAAAGATCTGAGGCTAGAACAGCAAAGAACCAGGCTCAAGGAGGCAGGCACGTGGCTTCAACAACCGATCCCCTCGACAAACTTCGATCCAAGTGTGCCGGTCATCCCACATCGAATGATCAGAGGGGCGAGAGGGCTAATCTCCATGAGGTGGCAGGATGACTTCGACTGCATATTCCCGTGATTGAGGGAGAATTAAGTAATCTGCGCTGTCAAAGAGGGAGGAGCGAGTCTTCCACTCTGTCGATCATCTCAAGAGGCTTCGATCTTCTGGGGCCGTCCACGGCGAACGATCAGAGGAGCGAGAGCGCTAATCTCAATGAAGTGGCAGGATGACTTCGACTGCATGTTCACATGAGGCTCGCCCGTCAGGAACAAGAAGCTGCGTTCCACGGACACCAAAAGCGGCAATGGATCGTCCTGGTTCACGGTCTGGAGCCCTGGCCAGCCGCCGACACCCATACGCAAGAGGTACAATGCCTTTCCTTTCCCCGCTCGTCTGCCTGGAGGTGACACTGACAACTTGAATTGCAAATGGACGACCCCCGGTGGGCGTGCCTGGTAATAGGGCGTACCTTCCTCACTAAGCAGCATCCTTTCTGGTCATTTCCAAGTTCTGTGCGTCGAACCACCCAGCCTGGCCTTCTGACCGTCTCTGGACAAGTCATTCTTCTCGGGACCGAGCCACGAGAGAGGCATTTTGGACTTCTCCTTCCCTCGTTGGTCTGCCTTAACCGGCAATAGATCGTCAATGGTCACGATCTCGATCCCTGACCGGTCCATGGACAATCTTACCCGGCACCGAAACAACAGAGAGTTCGGGTACATGCACGTTTGCCTTCTCCTCACTCCGCTGGTCTGCCTGATGGAATCTTGGTAGCTCGTATCCCACAGTCACTCCCAGTTGCAGGACTTCTTCTTCCCGTGCTGGTCTTCTTGGAAGGAACACTGACAGCCTGCATCACAGACTGACACTCCTCGTTTCTGGATACAGACCGTACCTTCCCCTCAAAATCCTTCCAAGCCACAGTCGGGCATCAAGTGCTGTCCATCAATCAGTCTGACCCCTGACCGGTCCATGGGCAAGTCACCTTCGGCACCGAAACACGATAGAAGTATGGTGACCTTCTCCCTTCTCCGATCTGGACAAGTCACCTTCGGCACCGAAACACGATAGAAGTATGGTGACCTTCTCCCTTCTCCGATCTGGACAAGTCACCTTCGGCAGCAGGGCGCGGGGGAGGTACATCGGCTCTCCTTGCCGAGTTCCTCCCCATTCGTCGGCCGGAAGAAACACTCGCAAGTCACAAACGGACACCTTGTGTCTGAGGCAGGGCGCACCTTCCTCTCAGAATGCTTTCAGGCGACAGTCATCAAGTTCTGTACATCGAATCACCCAGTCTGATCCGTCCCCACATGTCCCAGCTGACCGAGTATTTATCTCTGCCCTCCCCCGCCGCTTCTGCTTTTCTTTTTCCCTCCCATCTCTCTATCACACATTCATCAACCCTCCAAAATGATTCCCCTTCTTCTTTCTTCCTCCTTCAATCAACAAGTTCACCACCACTCTTCCATCGTGGTGTTCACGTTCACTTCAACGCGAGCCCCATGACCCTGCTCTTTTTGGGCTTCCTCCTCCAACGGCAACGGCAAAGACAACAGTCCTGGCACCTCCAACACCAGAGCCCGCGCAACATCTCTGCAACTTGATTCTCTGGCCGCTGTACCTCCCGGGCGCCGGTCGTCACTCCTTTTCTCTTCTCAGCGCGTCACACTGGCAGCCGTAATTGCTGCCGGCTTCAGCTTCAACATCCCGACACAAGCCCCACGACGGCTGGCCTGACCAGCCAATGTTCCCGGCCAGGCCCCCGAGACTCCTGCCACATCTTTCACTCTTGTCACCCTCTCCTGGGTAGTCCCAGGCCAATTCGCCTCCGCCCCCTTCGAGCGGTAGGCATCTTTGGATTCCGGTCTTCCTGCTTCTTCATGTCTTGGTGAGCTTGATCTTCTAACAGTTTTTCGCAGGAGGCCGCGGCACGGACTGTGTCGTTCTTCCATCTATCAGCGCTCCAAATGCGGAGCGCTGTACATGTTTCCGACATGTACAGAGAGTTGGCCCTCCGAGTCTTCGGTCATTGCGTTTGCCTTTTGCGGCGCTTCGCCAGTCGAGAAAAGAAGCCACCGTAAGGTGGTTTCGGGTACATACTTCTATCCGCATCCATGACACCGCTGGACGCAAACATGACACTAACACTGTTTGTTCTTTCATCCGCAGGTTCCATGCTTCATCTCCACGCGATAATAACACTCCATAAACTGGAACTTGGGTTTTGGTTTTCTTTGTCTCTCTTCTGTACAGTAGCGTTAGCTTGCAACAATACTTCCATTTGTTCACTCACATGATGATGCCTTCCTTGCTTGCTTGGTAGCGTTCTTGTCTACACTCGCTTTTGCCTCCGTTGTCGTCATTCCACTGACCTTGATGGTCAAATGTCATTCATATCTCAAGCCCGTAGAGACATTCATA